GTCCCTATATGGCGTTAGCATTCTCTAGTCACAATCATATCTCCAACAAGCAAATATAAAGATAAATACGTTATTGAAACTGTCTATTAGTGGTACCATTTATACTTAAAACTAATTTAATTTAACTTATAAACAAACACAATAAATCAGTCGTTAAAACAAAACATATATTTAAGACATATATATCTTTTATTCTTATTAAAAATTGCATATAACTGTGATTTTTTTGTGCAATATAGAGTTATATTTTGTTGTCTATTTACCTTAGGATAACGGCTATTAATACCCGATGGGGTAGACAGGTAAACATATTATAATGTAACACCCACTTTTCACTATTTATGTTACGAGTCCCATGTAATATTGACATTCACTGGGCACAATTTTATACTCCTTGTAGTTTTTTTTTTAAATAAATTACATTTTTATAAGATCACCGCAAAGGTGTAAAAACTCCTATATTTTTTAACATTTGCTCATGTATATGTGTCGCTTGGACAGTCAACCTCGCTACATCGTTGTTGACTGGACATCTACACTACATGAGCTGCTGTTTACATGTGAACATTAGCTCATGACGATACCTAAGTACGTGTGTCGCCTGGACAGTCAACCTCGCTACATCCTAGTTGACTGGACATCTACACTACATGAGCCGCTGTTTACATGTCAACTAAGTACGTACAAATTACTAGAATGATATGAAACATTTAATATCACCCTTCCCCAAATTGGATAGGCAGAGATGTACAAATACATAGTACGTATGAGACTTAATTCGAGACTTTTGGGCTATTACTGAGAATTTCTGAATTGAAAATCGTAATAATACAAGATTTAGAGATATCAAAGTACTGTTTCAAAACTGATCATTGCGTTTCAGTAGTTAGATATTGTAACAGTCGTATTCAGACGTTTCAATAGTACCAAATTATGGTTTAATTAAAATAAATGCTTTTGAGTTTGAGTTTTTTTTTGTATATATTTGATGGGGCGACGTTTGACCACTATCTCACCTGATGGTAAGCGATGATGCGGTCTACGATGGAGCACGTCGTCCCATAAGCAACCTATTCACTCAGGCTTTGAAGACTCCCAGGTTATACCCTTCAGGAAATATAGACTCTGGCAAAGAATTCCACTCTTTAGCAGTACGCACAAGGAAGCTTGAAGCGAAGCGCTTCGTGCGTGTGGGCGGAACATCAGTTTGAGATTAATGCCTAACCTTCTCCGTGTGAGAAGAGGCTTTGCTCAGCAGTGGGCATTTATAGGCTGTTGAATAAGCTAGTCTAATTAGACTTGCCGACATGATCGAAATCGATTGGGAGGCTGTATTACTACCAAAAATATTCAGACGTAATGAAACAGTCCTTTAATAACTGATTTGCAGTAACATATCATCACGCCCATAACCCCCTTAAGGGATAGGCAGAGATAAATTAACAGTAGGTATAGTCTTTCATTTAACAGGATAACATGGCTACAAATCGAGCTATACAGTACCAGTATATCATGTTCCCGGTTTATACAATCTTTCCATACATTCGACCGTCAGTTTAAACTGGTTAATCATAGCTTGATGCACGGAGCTATATAGAACCAGCAGTTGTAGCCCAATGCCATTTAGCGCTTGTCTACATGTAGAATAGAAAACCAAATTATATGGAATAGGGATGATGACAGGGTATGCAAATTAAAAATGTAATTAGTCCGTCAGTTAGATAATGAAAAAATATTAGACACGATTTTTTTTCTATTTTGTCGTATAATAAAACAATACTTAGATATAGTAAAGGCTAAAACGTCATTACTACGTATAAAATGTACATAGAAGTGACGCCACGCGACATTTCAAATCAATATATCGTCGAAAGTAATCGTTTTTATAAAAAAATAAAAAATACGTGTCTAATGTTTTAAAATAATCTACCACACGGACATTGAAATAAAATTAGTCATCTCTATTGACGTAAATTTTGACACTTGTCAGTGTCATCCCCATACATTTAGTTTTCTACTCTCTCTGTAGACAAGCGCTAAAGTGGCGTTTGGCTAAAGGGACTGGATATAATGGTCCAATCTACGATCAGTTTATACTGGTTATTCATTCATAGCTTGATGCATTGAGCTACACAAAACCAGTATATACCGGCCTCGCTTTGTGTGATCTTTCCATACATTCGCCGGTCAGTTTAAACTGGTTAATCATAGCTTGATGCACGGAGCTATACAGAACTAGTATATCATGGTCCCGCTTTATACAATCTTTCTACATAAAGTCAATTTATACTGGTTAGAATGGCTTGATGTGCAGTCGTGTTTATAGTTCATAGCCAAAGGTGCACATATAGGGCTCGTACACAAAACTGCGATGCGACGTCGCATCACAAAAATGTGCGAGCTCCCTCTACACATCGCAAGAACTTGCGAATTGATTCGCATCGCGCATCAAAATCTTATCTTCCCAAAATCTTCTTTGTTTCTTTTTCCTGTATCTCCTAAGTAATAACAGAAGTGCACACTTCTTTTTACGATCCATGTCACGACCTAGTTTTCAATTTAAAATACGTTTAGTACGGTTGACGGTCGTCGAAGGAATGGTCACCCTGGGAGACGCATTGTCGCACAAAATCGCATCGCAGCAATTCGCATCGTAATTTTCTGCGTTGCGAAATCGCATCGCATCGCAGTTTTGTCTACGAGCCCATACAATGTAACACTCACTTTTCACCTGTTATATTATGAGTCCCATGTAATAGACATCACGCTTTCTATTCTAGACAGGGTAGACAGAGATACAAGTTTAGATCTTAACAGTCTTATGTTAATAATAACATGTCTTTTAACTCCTAAAGACGTACACAGAGGACTATATTTACATATTCAAATATAACATGTAATGAAATTAATTATGTTGTACGGCGCACTCACGTATCTTTTCGAGTTGACTCGACTAGTTTCATGTTAGATTGGAGTCTATAATTTAAAGTAGCTTGTGGTGCTCGACCAGAAATATTTAAGAAAATATTTCTACCTATATATATATATTTTAAATACACTAGGTATCTCTACGAAAAACAGCGTTCTCTTTAACATAAAGCATGGGTTTTCTCCTGTGTCGTGTGTGTGTTTACAAACATACAATTTTACATACACCCGGAACGACAATTTGTGGATTATACAAAAAGTTTTCTATGCGGGAATCGAGCCCGTGTCACTGTGCACAATATCTAGTCGGACAGCCACCGGGCCAACCATGAAATCAGTTATGTGAATAGGTCGTAAAACATAATTAATTTTATCAATATACCTCACGATAATGATACCCAATTGGGTACTTGCCAACTAGTCAAATTCAATACTTTTTTCAAACTGTCAAAAACGACAGTTTTCTATGAATTTTGTACGAGATTGTGTATTGTGACGTCACGTTTTTTAGCATCAAACAGCATACTTATATCTTAAAAATTTGCTGGTTAAATACTAAAATGAAGTTGATCATAAAATCAATTAATTAAAGTTGATTATTTATTAATATTTTATTGTATTGAACTGTCGAAATAATTTATTATTGATTAAGAAAAGTACCCAATTACTAACGAAATCCCCGGAGGGGTGTGACGCACACTAATCCCGATGATAATACCGTTATTTTTGTTCGTTAGATGGCGCTAATGTAGCATTACGTCTGTTAATTCAATCACTGTATTAACATTTCATATCAGGTAGACATTAGCACGATAATATTATCATACAGTATTGTAACTCGGTACTCTCACTGTACAATGTAACACCCACTTTTCACTATTTATGTTATGAGTCCCATGTAATAGGGGGTGAGCCTATTGCCATATACCGGGCACATTTCCCCAGACTCCGTGCAGTCGCACTTGCGACCACTCGGCCAACGAGGCAGTCGCTGAAGTTGGAATACTGTATGATATTAATACCGTGTCACTACGTAATTAAATATACATACATGGTGGAATTTTGTAATGCCACCTGAAGGGGAAGTACTCTTAATACTTTAGATAGAACATTTTACTCAATGAAAACATTCCTTTATTTTTGTAAAGAAACAAAACTGCATTCATAGGTTTTTTTTTAATTAGCTTGCCTCATACGGTAATGGAACCGATTAAAATCTATCAAAGTTGCATCCTATACTATTTGCATAAGTGTTATTGCACCGATTATTAGGGTCAATAAGGATGAAATCTCTCTAACAAACTTCATAAATATACCTCTAATGAAAGGAAAACAATGAACGATCGATGCAATACAAGTATAGAGTGCAAACTGACAGATTTTAGTCGGTTCTATAAGCGTGTGAGGCAAGCGAATCCTTACTTCCTTACTTAATATTATAAATCGGAAAGTGAGTTTGCTTGTTTGTTTGTTTGTTCCACCTTCACGCCGTAACTACTAAACCGATTGCTTTGAATTTTTGCAGACGTAAAGTTAGAAGTCCGGATTAAATAATAGGGTACTTTTTATCCCGGAAAAATTTCATATTCCCGAGGGAAAACAAAAGTGTTGGTATAGATGGCGCTGTATATATTGGCATATGTCACATAGGCTACTTTTTATCCTTTTGTGACGCGAGCGAAGCCGCGGGTAAAAGCTGGCTTAAAACATCTTTGAATGCAGTTTTGTTTCTTTTCAAAAATAACGGAATATTTTCTTTGATTAAAATGTTCTATCTTAAGTATTAAGAGTACTTCCCGTTCAGGTGGCATTACAAAATTCCACCATGTATATAAACAAGACCATATGCTACAATACCGCTATCAGATAACCAAAAAACTATAGCCCTTATTAAAGACAAATAATACAATGTAACACCCACTTTTGACCAATAACGTTATAAGTCCCATATAACGCAAAAACAAGAACACAGAATTACACTTTACGCGACCAAATCTCTAAGTTTACTTTTGAGAAATTTAACCTTCTTATTGACAGCATTCTTATAATTAGTCTTAGAACTATCTACAGACTTACTTGCCGATTTGTTCCGACTTCTTACTCTTTCGTCGAATAATCCGTAATAATTCGGTAGGGGAGTATCCACGAGGTCTGGTGTTGAATTCGGGTTGACTTTCGAGTGGTATATCGAGGACATATTCTGTATAAAGTGCGTGAACATGGCTGTTTCCGTGAACCATTCTAAGAAGTACTGGTTTTGTTTCGACGTTGAGCTTTTTATGAACGATTCCTTCTGTGGACGAGAAGATATACAATATTATTAGTAGTTGTAAAAAATAAAAGGTATATTTTTAGTTATATATAAAGAAAGAAAGAAAGAAAAACCTTTTATTTTGCTACGACACAACAAGAATTTAGGAACACGCAAAAAAGCCTATGGTGCGTATATATCTGTTATACTATATCTATTACTAGCGACCCGCCCCGGCTTCGCACGGGTGCAATATGCATATATTATACATATAACCCTTCCTTAAGAATCACTCTATCTATTAAAAAAACCGCATCAAAATCCGTTGTGTAGTTTTAAAGATCTAAGCATACATAGGGACAGACAGACGGCAGATAGCGACTTTGTTTTATACTATGTAGTGATTAGTTTTTGCATAATAGTGGCAATAACATTAGTTATTAATTGTATCGAATTTAAATAAAACATAGGGAAATACAAAGTATTATCTTGGGAAGTATACATTTTGGGAAATTAGTATAACAATCATAAAGATATTTATATAATTTCTTCGTTTGAGCACACAAAAATTGTTCGTTGGTCTCAAAATCGACACCTTCAACGTATCTCTCATCGCACTGACTTCTTTCATTCTTCTTTGTACACTCAAGCTATTCTTCTGTGGAATGCGCTGCCCAAGGAGATCAGAATGGCAACAAATCGTACAGCCTTTAAATTTAACACTAAAACCTTCATACACACATCTATTGTGTGGGAGAGCCATGCTTCGGCACGAATGGGCCGGCTCGACCGGAGTGATACCACGGCCTCACAGTACACCGACGTGAAGCAACGCTTGCTTTGTGCTTCGTCGTGTAAGTGAGGTTACCGGAGGCCCAATTACCCTCCCCTTCCCCAATCTCTCCAATTCCTGAATCCCCAACGATCCTCAAACTCCTAATCCCCAAAAGGCCGGTAACGCACTTGTAACGCCTCTGGTGTTCCAGGTGTCGACGCCGATTGCTTACCATCAGGTGATCTGTCAGCTCGTTTACCGGCTAAAGCCATAAAAAAAAAATATACTCACATCAAAAACAACCCCGTTGCGGCCCAAATCGCCATCCTTAACTTCTCCCAAGTGGAAGAAACGCCAGAAATCACCAAGTATGTCGACGAAAAATCTCAAAAACGCCTCGGATATCATTAGATTCCTCGTTCTTATGTCTTGTTCCCGATCTTTGTTCTTGCTCGTTTCCATTTGTAGCGCAGTTTTTAGAGTTTTGTAGCAAGAAGTTGGTAAAATAGTGGATTCGTCTCCTTGGTAGTAGAGGACCTTTGACGGGTGAGTGAGGTCTATTAGCATACCCTGGGAAAGAGAGACGTTACTTAATTAATATTATGTGAAGTAAATCAACTTGAAATATATGTCAAGTCAATGTAGCATAACACACGGTTATCATTAAACAAAATTATGTGTAAATTATGTGGTTTCTTAATATAATACTGATGTAACGTGTCGTGAGTATCACTGTTTGAGTAATCCGACTTATATCGGATTTTTTTTTTTAAGGGGGGAAAATCATCGAAGGACTGCTCCCGTCTGGGTGAGGCGGAAGGGAGTGTCACACTCTTACTGACTAAAAACCACCCCGTTCCTTCTCCTGCACGTCGAGCCGGAGCCCCGGTTACCCGTTAGGTTCTCCGCGACTCCGAATCGGCATCGGCCCTATTGGGCCCCATCTGTGGTGGTCTGATGGCTCTTTGAGGCGCGCGCGGAACGCGACGCGCCGTACGCTCGGGTCTGTTTCTGGTCGGACGGGGAGCCACCCATGCCCGCCGTCCTCCGACCCGCTTACGGTGGCCGGAGATCGTCCCGCGATCCCCGACGCCCGGTGTGTCCTTCGCGATGGCTGGGTTGCGAGGACGCGTCCCGCCTCCTCCTTAGCTAGCATGACTGCTTCGCAAAAGGAGGAGACGGCATCCCAGTCCCCCTCGCTCTGCATCATGGCCTGCACTAGGCCCGGACGCGAGAGGTCGCCATCGCCGATCACTTCCCTGAGGGCACGGCGGTGCTCAGCCCACGCAGGGCATTCCGCTACGGTGTGTTCCACCGTGTCCTCAGGGCGGTCCTCGCAGTGATGACACCCGGGCGTTTCCTCCCGTCCCATCAGACATAGGTACTTCCCGAAACTTCCATGTCCGGTGAGGACCTGCGTCAGGCGGTAGGTGAGGACGTCGTAGCGTCTCTCAAGCCACTCGTCAAAGAGGGGACTTACCGCTGCAATGGCAGCGAGCCCAGGCCTCGGTTGCGACAGTCGTTGCTGCCATTCCGCCATGAGATCGCGCCGGAGCTCATCCCGCCACGCAGTGACCTGGCGCGGCAGCGGAGTGTCGCCCCGGCGACGTGCCTCCGCGCGCATGCGATACACGCGCGCGAGCACCTTCGCCTCCAGATCCCACGGCGGTAATCCGGCAAGGAGGTTCGCCGACTCCCCGGAGATCGTGCGGTATCCGCGGATCATTCGGATCGCCATGACCCTCTGTGACATGAGGACTTATATCGGATTAGCTCCAAAACAGTCGAGCAGCGATAATGTAAATGTTGATGATATCGCATTTAACCTGTAGATACTTCACACTATTATGGAATGTCTTAGTTTAAGAAATACCACAGCGTAATAAACTGTACTTATCTGTTTGATTAGCATTAGCATTACTAAACTAATTAATAGTTAGTCGATGGTACTTGAGTTTATTTAAACTGTCAAACACCAAACGGTCACCGGTGACCGCGACCTATTGTTCTTTAATTGTGTCTATAAATACGGTACTCGACGAGTAAACAGGGTTATTCGACTAATTTCGGCCGCACTCGTAATCAGTCGAGGATGCTCGAAAACCGTAAGCAACATTCTTAATCTGTCAAATACCAAGCGGTCACCGGTGACCGCGACCTATTGTTCTTTAATTGTGTCTATAAAACCGGTACTCGACGAGTTAATACAATAATAAAGATAACACTTACCTAAGACTTCTGTACTATATTAGACCAAAAAACACTAGAAATATCCTAAAAACACTCAATTTTTGCCAACTAACCTCTTCAAAAACGACGGAACTGAGGTCCGAATCGTGCGGCGGGTGTAGCATACCCGCGAGGATAGGCAGCGGGGCCTCAAGTACCTCGCGCTGTATCTCCATAGGGATGGACGATATTAGGGGCTGCTGCCATACGAACGGGTATAGGGATGCTTGGAGAGCTTCTACGCAGGATGACACTGATCTGGAATTTAGAGAAAAATATATTAAGTAAATGATAGAAGGAAAAAGAAAGAAAGATTGTTTATTTGCATCGTAACAAATTAAAAACAAGAACAGTAATATAATAAAAAATGGTGAAAGTGTGCACGGCGCAAAAAGGTCAAGTGGTCAGCTGAAACGCCGTGACCCGGGAGCGGTAACTCGAGTCGCGGCGCTGATTTTCAGCACTAGCCCGTTATCTATATAATTTTAAATCTATGGGGGTGAGCCTACTGCCATATACCGGGCACAGTTCCAGACTCCGTGCTACTACTGAGAATCTTTTAAAAACCCAGTAATACTTTGCCCGACCCGGGAATCGAACCCAAAACCCAAGACCACTCGGCCAACGAGGCACTCAATCACGTCATAACGACTGAAGAGATCTGGATGAAATTTAGAACAGGGCATAATAAAGCCCAGTCTTATAATAAAGCTCAGCTATTTAAAGCTTATTTAGCTTTATTTTATTTGATTTTTAAAATTTGATTTGTTATTGTTAAATAATATGTGCAATGTTGTTACATTTAACGTTAGTAACATTATTTTAGGTTGGCAACTTTTATTTGTATTGTGTGTGAATTTTTACTCTATGGCTCTCTCTCTCTCTCTCTCTCTCTCTCTCTCTCTATGGATGGATAGGATGTAATAGTTGTGTGTTTCTCAATTAAAATAAAACTGTTTGATCAGTTAAAGGACAATTATCCCTACTATAATAATAATAATAATAATCTCGCGCAAACTGACTACAAGCACAGGCAAATCTCGCGCAAACTGACTACAAGCACAGGCACGATCAAGTCTCCGCCATAATTCACCAGCACCTAGCTTATAAATATAGTCTGATAGATCAAATGGTCGCATACTATAAATATAAGCCCGAAACAATTTTAGAAAATAGAAATTGTAAAATATATTGGGACCGAACAATTGTTACAGACAAAACGATACATTTCAATAGACCAGATATTACAGTTCATGACAAAGTTACCAAAACAGTATATTTGATAGATATTGCCATCCCAAACTCACATAACATCCAATCTACTATTTCTGAAAAATTAAGTAAGTATCAAGATCTCGCCATAGAAATCAAAACGCAGTGGAGAGCACAAACAGTTCACATTGTCCCCATCGTCCTCTCAACCACTGGTATCGTACCTAAGTCCCTCACACAAAACCTCAATACTCTCCACATGCCTACCTACACTCTCCACACACTCCAAAAAGCAACCATTCTCAACACTTGCCGCATTACTAGAAAATTCCTCACATCATCTACTCTATCATCCACCTTTTCTATATAACCTTCCCCTTATACACTTGGCTCCGGCCCGTGTACAAGGTTCTTATACTCTCTTACGAGAAGAAAATTAAAATGTCTTTGAAATAATAATAATAATAATAATATAATAATAATCGGGCTGCCCTTCGTACTCTGGGGAGGGCACCGTATCGCATGCTGCCCAGTCACAAGCTGTTGCAGCACAACATGACCAATTGTCAACATGTTCTTCACCAACATCTTCATTATTCTCGTCCATACCCTCATCACCAGCGTCATACCTCAACAATCAACAATCCAGCTCAACCAATTCATCCCCATTATCATTTCACTCCGCCAGGGACGTTGTGCAGGAGGCTATTTTAGCTGAAGTTACTGCACCCGCCCAAGGTGGCAGGCGCACACGTAAAACGTGGACTAAAGATATGAATATTTTCATCATGCGCCATTATTTCATCCTTACAGAACTCGAAACAAACATAAAGAATTACCTGACGCCATTACACTCACGATTTAATTTAGAATTTCCAGAAATGAATGCATCAAAACAAAGGATAGGAGACCAACGCCGTGCTATTGTCCAGCGTAACTTTCTTACAGAACGGGAAATCCTAAATATCAAGGATGAAGTTAGACTGCTATTACAAAACCAATCTTCAATGTCACAATATAATATTACAAACATTGATCAAACTTCATCTCGTAGAATGAGATGGAGTGACGACCTTAATGAAACTATTATGAGAAGTTACTACCGCTTAACCAACTTAGAAACAGATTTAACCACTTACAGACCACTATTACACCAAGATATTATTTCAAAATGCCCATCTATTGCACACTTATCAGCACAACGCATATCAGACCAACGCAGATCTATTGTAAATAATAAACTTTTATCTAATGCACGACTTAATGAGATTAGAGAAGAGGTTAGAAGTGAGTTAGCCTCTATAAGTACAGACAACTCTGATTACATAATATCACACCAGACAACAAATGCAATAGTCACACAACTAAACCCGATAGATACTACTAACGATGACCACACTGGAAGAACGACACCAACAAGCGCTAGCGACCTAAACACTCCACAAATAGCACAAAATACTCTACAAGCAGAACAAAACACTCTACATCTCCCAGCTGAAGTATGCAAACAGTTAGAGCAGATGTACACTGATCACTGTAACAAATTTAATAAATCCAATCCAACGACTAGACCATATATTCCCAAATTAAAATCATCAAGAAAACTAGCAGCAATCATAATTCCAAACATATTAAACTCAGTTACTTCCAAACATATTAAACTCAGCTACAGATTTCCTTACACTACAGACATCAATTTATTGCGCAGCATACACTGCAGCAAAATTTAATGGTGCTAGAATCAAAGAAACAAACGAACACATTAGTCAACCAGTAAAAGTCCCTTGGTGGCAAAAACGGCTAGAACGGAGGATTAGTGACCTCAGAGCCAATATAGGAAGGCTCACAGAGTATACAAGAGGTACTCGATCGCCAGCTCTTGAGACACATATACATAACAAAAACAGGTATACAAAATACACTCTCAACACGAACCAGAAAATACAGACATAACACACTTCCTAGATACCCTGAAACAAAAACTTAATACTTTAACAAACCGACTAAGGAGATATAGGGAAACGACGATTAGAAAAATACAAAATAAACAGTTCTGCAACAATGAAAAACTATTTTACAGAAAATTGACACAACAAAATAACAACAACTCACAAGGAAATAACACACCATTACCGACTCCCGAATCGTTACATTCATTTTGGTCAAATATTTGGTCTAACCCAGTCACACACCATCAAAACATCTGGATTGAGGAAGACCAAGAAAGATGGAGGGATACACCAGAAATGAAATTCGATCAGATTAATTTACAACTTTTACAAACAGTTATAGCCAGGACACACAACTGGAAAGCCGCAGGATCAGATAATATACATAACTTCTGGTATAAGAAACTAACATGCACTCATACACTACTTCTTAAACACATTAACACATTCATTCAATCACCTGACACAATGCCACCATACATCACGCAAGGCATAACATACATGCTACCAAAAGATCCATTAGATACTGCTAACCCCGCTAAATACCGGCCCATTACTTGTTTACAAAATATATACAAAATCATTACATCTTGCCTCAGCGAAACTATATACAAACATACACATGAACACAATATATTAGCAGAAGAGCAGAAGGGATGCCGGAAAAATAGTAAAGGGTGTAAGGAACAACTGACCATCGACGCCGTAGTATCCAAACAAGCACTTAAACAAAAACGCGACATACACACTATGTACATTGATTATAAAAAAGCCTATGACTCCGTCCCACATTCCTGGTTAATTTACATTTTAAAACACTATAAAATTCATCCCACTATCATTCAATTTTTAGAAAAAATAATGCCCAACTGGAATACCAAATTAAAGATACACAACGCAAATGAAATTACCGAAACAGAATTCATTTCGATAAAAAGAGGCATCTTCCAAGGTGATGCACTGAGCCCCTTGTGGTTTTGTCTGGCCCTTAACCCATTGTCTAACATGTTAAATAAAAATGATTTTGGATTTAAAATTAAACACAACTCACAACACACAAGGCTCACTCATCTCATGTACATGGATGACATCAAACTTATTGCAGGCACACTTAACGAGATACACACCCTCGCCGAGATCACACAAACCTTTTCGAATGACATCTGTATGGAATTCGGAATAGATAAGTGCAAAATTCAATCACTCATCAATGGAACTGTAGAACCAACATCGTACGAACTTAGGAACCACGAAATAATAGAATCTGTAGACCCTAACGAAGGCTATAAATATCTAGGATACCACCAATCAGCAGAAATTTACCATAAAAACACCAAGAAAATACTTCAACAAAATTTCAAAAATAGGCTACATAAAATACTACACACACAACTCAATTCAAAAAACACAATCAAAGCCATTAATACATTTGCTATCCCTATTCTAACTTACTCTTTTGGAATCATACGATGGACGAAAACAGATCTCACCACATTACAAAGACTAATCAACACTACAATGACTAAGCACAGAAAACATCATCCCAGGGCTTGCATTCAGAGGTTAACTTTACCAAAAATTGAAGGCGGCAGAGGACTCATTGACATAACGAACCTTCACAACAACCAAATCACAGCACTCAGAAGATTCTTCTTCAATCGCTCACAACATTCCCCACTTCATAAAGCGATCTGTCATGCAGACACATACACACCACTCTCTCTAGCAGACCACACCAAACAAATGACCACAATATCTAAAGAACAAAAAATACAAACTTGGACTCAAAAATCGCTCCATGGCCGTCATCGTCTCGATTTAACCAACCCTATTGTTGACAAAATAGCGTCAAACGCTTGGTTAAAGCGAGGCGAGCTGTTCCCGGAAACAGAAGGTTTCATGTTAGCGATCCAAGACCAGGTTATTGACACAAAAAATTACAGAAAATATATAATTCGCGACAGCACCCTTGGCAGTGATCACTGCCGACACTGCCACAGACAACCAGAGACAAT